AAAAAACAAAGAAAGAGTCCCTTGAATGTTGCTTTTTCAAAAGCCACCACTCTAGGATTCCCTTAAGTAGGGACTCCTCCAATACCTGTGAAATGATGTCCAGCACAGAGCAGACCCTCAATCAGTATCTGACATGAATGGAAGGTTCTATTTATGTCAGTGCAGCAAGCAGCTGTGTGCTGTGGCTCACACCTGTAATCCCAGCACTTTGGGAGGCGGAGGCAGGAGGACTGCTTGAGCCCAGGAGGTTGAGGCTGCAGTTATCCATGACCCTGACATTGCACTCCAGCCTAAACAATAGAGCAAGACTCTGTCTCAAAAAAATAAATAAGACAGGCCTGGCGCGGTGGCTCATGCCTGTAATCCTAGCAGTTTGGGAGGCTGAGGGGGGCGGATCATGAGGTCAGGAGTTCGAGACCAGCCAGGCATGGTGGTGCGTGCCTGTAATCCTAGCTACTCAGGAGGCTGAGTCAGGAGAATCACTTGAACCCAGGAGGTGGTGGTTGCTGTGAGCTGAGATCACACCACTGCACTCCAGCCTTGGTGACAGAGTGAGACTCTGTCTCAAAAATAAATTAATTAATAAGTAAGACAAAATGCAGCAAATATATGTTCACAATTTACTTTGAAATGCACCAAAAAGGTGTGATATGGGACTAAATGGACAGATGTGTGATCAAGCAAGTATGGTAAAATCTAAGTAGTGAGAATGCTGGTGTTCACTATAAAATTCTTTCATCTTTTCACGATGTTTGGAATGTTTTCGAAATACAATATTGCAGGGAGAGAGAAGGAGCATGTGTAAGGAAATGGTGGTATTCCATAAAATAAGAAAAAACGCAGCAACGAGAAAGTGAGGCGCATCACATTTTTTTTTTTTTTAGAAAGTGATTTTATTTAAAGAGAGAGAAACAGGAGAAGGGGAGAGAAAGAAACTGCTAACTCTCACACTGAGTGAGAGAATCCAGAAAGATGGAATCTGAGAGAGGAAAGCAGCTTCCACACTGAGTGGAAGGGAATAGAGAGAGATAGAGTTTAGGAGGGGAAGGCAGGCTTCCACGAGAGAGTGTGGAAGGGGACTCCAGAGGGGAAATCCAGGAGAGAGAAAGACAGCTTCCATGAAGGGAGTGTTAGTGGAAGGGGACCCAAACATGGAGTCCGAAGCGGTGTGGAAGAAGGGAACTTTTAACCTGGGAGGAAGCCCCACCTTCTCTAAGACCCCTGGCCAATGAAAGGAGTTCCTTAGAACTTCCGCTGGAGTGATTGACTCTTAGTTTCTTCCTGTGCCCATGAAATTTAAACATAAACCATTAAATCTCCTGGATGGAGAGGGATGGGAGGGGGATATGGTGTTGGGAAGTTCTTGCCCTTAAAACTACGCCCCCCTGTGGACCCTGGAAAGAGAACACCTTCCCTCATTCCTCGCCTCTGAACAGGAAAGCCCAACTTCCGTTGGGACACAGGGCGTTGATCCTCCCTAACTACTTCCTGCTGAAATGGGGCAGAGAAGGGGCCCTGCAGTTGAAGTTTCCTCCAGAGGGGAGCCTTTAGGGATGTAAGTTGATCTAGAGGTCCACGGTAGAGCCCACGAGCCAAAGACACCTGGGGTTGCAGCTGCAGGATTTTGTGACCTTATGGTTGAGTGGTTGCTTTCCTGAGGATCTTGTTGGAGAAGCATATGTAGATCTTCTAATGGCTCACAGGTGGATGGAGGGTTGTCTCCTGGAACTTCAGGCTGTGGAGTGGAGGGTCTCTGACTTTCCTCAGGAGGTAGCCAAGGCTTCAGCTGAGTGTGATGAATCCATGAGTTAATTTCTACTACCTTACCTGCCGTTGGGGTAGACAGAATGACCAAAAATGGTCCTTCCCAGGATGGGCCCTGCTGCCTGGGACTGGAGAACACCAGAGAGCCCTGCCAGAACCATGCGCCGCACTCCGGGTCCCCTGCAGGCTGGGGCTGTACCTCACCCCTCCCCGCAGTTTTTCTCTGGCGGAAGGCTGGCATGCTCAGTTCCACCCCCGGGGCTGGGCTGTTCCCCGAGGGGAAGGAGCGGAAAGCCAGGGTGTTCACCTTTTCCACCCCAAAGGCTCCTGCAGGTTTTGGTCCCAGAGATAATATCTGAAGGATAGAGAAGGAGAGGGAAAGCAGAGAGCTTGGAGGTTAAAAAAAAAAAAAAACTGCACTTTTAATTCTGGCTGGCCCGCCCCACTTAAGAGCTGGGTGAAACCCTGTCTCTACTAAATATACAAAAAATTAGCTGGGCATGGTGGCGCATGCCTGTAATCCCAGCTACTCAGAAGGCTGAAGCAAGAGAATTGCCTGAACCCAGGAGGCGGAGGTTGTGGTGAGCCGAGATTGTGCCATTGCACTCCAGCCTGGGTAACAAGAGAGAAACTCTGTCTCAAAAAAAAAAAAAAAAAAGAGAGAGAGAGAGAGCTGGGCCTTGCTGCTTAAGACCAGCTGGGGTTGTGCCTCTGAGGTTCTGCCGCTCAGGTTCCCCGCAGCCCTACCTGGCTGTGGCCACAGGACAGAATGGGGCCAGTTTTACTCCCAGTTTTGAAGTCTTTTTCTCTGGCTGTATCCCTTTCCTAGTGTACCCCTCTCCTGGCTGTACCCCTCTTCTGGCTGGCTCATGAAAATGTAATATTGGGGTTCAGGGGTGCCCTCTCTGTTCCCCTGAGAGGATATTTCTCCAGGTTCTTGGTCAGTCACTTCCTAAGTATGGGTGAGGAGACCATTGCACAGTGCGCAGTAAATGCCGAACTCAAGAAGTGTTGTAGAAAGTGATTTATTTAGAGAGAAACAGCTAACTCCCACACTGAGAATCCAGAAAGATGGAATCCAGGAGAGGAAAGCAACTTCCACGCTGAGTGGAAGGGAACAGAGAGATGGAGTTTTGAGGGCAAGACAGGCTTCCACGAGAGAGTGTGGAACGGGACTCCAGAGGGGAAATCCAGGAGAGAGAAAGACGGGTTCCACGATGGGAGTATTCATGGAAGGGGACCCAAACATGGAGTCCTGTGCATCACATTTTTTGTACAAATGCGGGCCCCCCGACCCCGCATTGAGCTCTTACTGACACAGGGCCTCCTGTGTTTGCATTCATATTCTGTTTACAGGCCTTGCCTCCCAGGAACGCTGTGAATTCCTCCAGGGCGAGAACACTGTCTCTTATTTTTGGTCCCACAATTAATGGAATTTTGGAGCTGGAAGCAAGACTTGTAGAATCCTTGCCTCTCTTTATACAGAAGGAAATCGTGGTCCCTAGAGGTGGAAGTAGGCTGCCTTCAGACCTCTGCTTCTGAATGGAACGCAAGCCTCCCAGCAGCCAGGTGAGTGCCTGGGAGTGTTACAGAGACTTCAGGGGCAACCATGAGAGGTCAGCTGCTGGCGACAGAGGGAGCCAGACCCAGGCCTGCTGCTTTCTCAGCCAGTGCCCTCCTCCCACTGAGCCGCAGCGTCCTCATTCATACAATGGTGACGATGAGAGGGCTTTTGTCTTTGGGTTATGGGCGACTTAAATGGCTAAAGAACATGAACAGGCCAGTCAGAGTGGCTCCTGTCTGTAATCCCACCACTTTGGGAGGCTGAGGCAGCAGAGTCTCTTGAGCTCCTTGAGCCCAGGAGATTGAGAACAGCCTGGGCAATATAGTGAGGCCCTGTCTCTCAAAAAAAAAAAATTTTTTTTTTGAGACAGTCTCACCCTGTGGCCCAGGCTGGAGTGCAGTGGCATGATCTTGGCTCACTGCAACCTCCATCTCCTGGGTTCAAGCGATTCTCCTGCCTCAGCCTCCCGACTAACTGGGATTACAGGCATGTGCCACCACACCCGACTAATTTTTTTTCTTTTTTTGTATTTTCAGTAGAGATGGGGTTTTCCCATGTTGGTCAGGCTGCTCTCAAACTCCTGCTCTCGTGATCCGCCCTCCTCAGCCTCCCGAAGTGCTAGGATTACAGGCATGAGCCACCACAACCGGCTAAAAAAAAAAAATTAGCCAAGTGTGGTGGTGTGTGCCTGTAGTTCGAGCTACTCAGGTGGCCGAGGTGGGAGGATTGCTTGAGCCCAGGAGGTTGAGGCTGCAGTGAGCCATGATCATGGCTCTATACTCCAGCCTGGGCAAAAAAGCAAGACCCTGTCTCAAAAAAAAAAAAAAAAAAAAGAATATGAACAACACTACACAGTACCTTGAGTCTAGTAATACCCAGTAATTGTAATCATTGTTCCTCTGGTCTGTGAACGGTCCACAGATCTGAAAATGGGGCTTCCTGTCCCTCCACTCAGGTGGCTCCTGTCACCAGCGAGTCTTCCCCCTGAGCCTTCCATCCTTCCCCCTCCTTTCAGAGAGGTTCCCCCACCCTGTCTCACTTTACTTATTCACCAATTCCCCCTCCCTGCTGATGCCAAAGGGCAAAGACCTCTGTTTTCCCCGAATATCCTCTGTAGCTCTTCACTGTTTCACTCCCTCCACTGACTGACTGTGTAAACTTGGTCGGTTTCTTAACCTGTGCAAGCGCCCTCGTGCTTCTCTATAAAATGGGGCAATAGCAGTGCCTTTCACCTAACTGGGTGGGTGGGAGGAGTCAATGATGTCATGCAGGTGACGCTCCAGGCAGGCAGCCTGGCAAGTCTTAACTGTACAATACAGACAAGTCATTGTTGTTATTCTTTGGCCTCCCAACCCCGCTGACTGAGGATGCTACCTCCTGAGCCCAGGCCATTCTCTCCCGGCATGTCTGTCCCACCAGTGTCCTGTGGTGGTTTTCCCTGCACAAGTCCTCCTGCCAGTAGCAAGCACGAAACGAACTTTGCACCCAGCAAAGCATAGTTTGTCCCTGTTACCTGCCTGCTTACGGCTGATCAGCCTAAAATCTCCAGCTCAACCCACCCTGTGCATCGGACGACCCGACTCCTTCAGCAAAGTAACAAGAAAAGACAAGCCCCTCCTGCCTCCCTGTCCATCCCTCCTTAGGGAGCCCAGGGAACCATGAAGAGACAGCATAGTGTATCAAGTTTATTCACAAATCCCAGTAGGACCCCCTTCAGGGACTCCAGAAATCTGCCCCCCCACCCCAAACCCCTCCAGGTCATGTCAGCTGATGTGACAACGGCAGCATTAGTCTCCCAGCAAGGTGGGGTGTCAGTTTAGGGCATGATGTTGGCAATGCCCTAGAAGAGAGAAGGAGAGTAGGGGTGAATGCAGGGTCCACAGTTGTGAAGCGGGGGTGGGCCAGACGTCAGCCCTGCCTCACAGGAGAAGCTCGAGGAGCACTGGCTGCTCTGGCCCCAGAGTTAGGTTCTGGGGAACAGCTTCAGGAAGGCAGCATCTGGACTTAAGAGCACAAGGAAGCCAGCCCTCCCAGGCAGAGGGGCTGGGGCCTCTGCAGGAACCAACAAGCCTCATGTGTTTAGCCTCAGAGGATGCTCTGCTGTCTCTGTAGCCCAGGATACACAAGGGTGGGCCTTCCACCTCCTTGACACACCCTCACCCTGGCCTGTGCCCAGTCTCAGGCAGCAAATAGAATAAATGCAAAAAGAGACCAGGCACAGTGGCTCATGCCTGTAATCCCAGCACTTTGGGAGGCCAAGTCAGGCAGATCACTTGAGATCAGGAGTTCGAGACCAGCCTGGTCAACATGGTGAAACTCTGTCTCTACTAAAAATACAAAAATTAGCTGGGCATGGTGGCAGGCGCCTGTATTCCCAGCTACTCAGGAGGCTGAGGCAGAAGAATTGCTTGAACCCAGGAGGCAGAGGTTGCAGTGAGCCGAGATCACACCACTGCACTCTAGCCTAGGAGACAGAGTGAGACTCCATATCAATAAATTAAAATAAAGAAAGAGAGTCAGGAGGTTACTTTGAGCCCCAGGTGGGAACCAGGATTCCACAGGAGCCTCTACACTGGGGTGACATCACACCAGGGAGAGGACAAAGCCACAGGCTCCCCCTCCGAGCATGGAGCAGAGGCATTTGCAGCAGAGTGGGGACATGAGGGAAACCAGTCAGCAAATGGGAATCGAGGAACAAGGACAGGGAAAGAGAGGGAATGAGAACAGCCAGCCACCCTCCTCCCTCCCTGGCTCCCAGGGGCACCTGGGCCTGGAGGTCTCTTCTGCCAGCTTGTGTGGGCCTCAGTGGAAATGAAAAGCACCCAAAAGATGAGGGCAGGGTGTGAAGGGGAGGGAGCAGGTGGAGAGAGGGGAGCCCAGGGCTGGGAATCAGGTTGGAGGGTCTCTGCAGAGGCTGCAGCTCTGGTTTCGGGGGAGCTGTCCAAACAGACAAAGCGAAGGGGTCAGGGTTAGAGTATCTATCAGGACACAGAGCAGGAAGGAGACCGTGTGGCACTTACCCTCCACAGAGTGGGAAGGTTGATGAAAGGCGTGTTGACCGAGGCCTGCAATTCAAGGACAAGAAGGTCAGTCTCCAGCATCTGACCCACAGCCACGCTAGGGAACTCCCAGGGGCCTCCTCTCCCCTACCCTGGTGTCCGCACTTACCCCAGAGGCTAACGGCGTGGTTGCGGCCCCTCCTTGATGGCCGGAAGATCCGCCGTGATGGTTGCCCTGTGGACAAAGCCCAGACTCTTGTTCCAACCCCTCAATCCTGCAGGGAGTGGGGGCGGGGGTGTCTCCCCATTCCTTTTCCCCAGTTACCTGGTCCCCTCCAGGGTGACTGGGGCTGGGTGGGAGGTGCAGCTTAACCCACTGCCTCCTCACTGTGGGCATTCTGCCTCCTGCTGCCTTTTCCTTCCCAAAGCCCCCTTTCATTTCCTTAACCAAGTGCCCTTAGTCACTGAGGAGGGGTCTGGTGGAAAGGGAAGATAGGGGACCCACGTGACTATCAGGACCTTAGTTTAACCTCAGCCCTGACCTCAAATCTACCTTTCTATGCCCTGTCTAGCTGCATCCTTAACGCCACTGATCACTGTCCTTAACCCAGCCCCAGACACTCAGCCATGCACACCAGCAGCACCTCAATCCCCGGCTGCTGTTGCCAGCCCCAAATCCCGCAGCCTGCCGTGCCCACTCCTCTACTGCACTGTTCCTCCCCACCTACCCATCCCTGGCTCTGTCTGGCGGCAGATGTGGCTCTGGGCTTCCAGGTCTGAGCCAGTCACATCTTGTGGATCCCTGGAGAGTGGAGCGCACAAGAGTCCACCCTCTCCTGCTCCCCACACTCCCTCCTTGGTGCCTGTTCTGTTGTCAGTGGTGCTAGTTGCCTGCCTCCAGTGTCTGTTCCGTCTACTTTATTGATTGATTGATTGATTGATTGAGACGGAGTCTCACTGTTGCCCAGGCTAGAGTGCAGTGGTATGATCTTGGGTCACTTCGCAAGTTGAAGCAAGTCTCCTGACTCAGCCTCCCGAGTAGCTGGGATTACAGGTGCCTGCCACCATGGCCAGGTAATTCTTGTATTTTTAGTAGAGATGGGGTTTCACCAAGTTGGCCAGGCTGCTCTTGAACTCCTGACCTCAAGTGATCCACCTGCCTTGGCCTCCCAAAGTGCTGGGATTACAGGCATGAGCCACTGCACCCGGCCACTGTTCCCTCTACATAAATGAGTGAGAGAAACCTTCCAGAAAACCTCTCTTGGCTGGGCAAGGTAGGGGAAGAGAACCCTGGCCTGCCCTCTGCAAAGCTGGGCACTAGCCCAGGACCTTGGCAGGTCCCCTAACCTCTCTGAGCCTCCGTTTCCTTATCTGGGCATCAGGGCGTCAGCAGCCTCATCTTAACTACGTCAGAGGGTTATTATGAAGATTACAGAGGCCAGGGCTCATCTCCACGAGCTACTCCTCATGCTCCGTCTCCTAACCGGCTTTTCTCAACACTCAATCCCTTTGCACTGCACTGGATCTTGATCTCAGGAACTATTTCCCATTCCCCAGGAGGCACTTCCCGGTCCCCACTTGAGGCCCCCTTAACCAGAAGGGCAGCTCCCTGAAGGTGGGACGGGGTGCCCACCACCCTGTCTGATACGTGCTTTGCAGATAAAGTGGCTCACACCATCTGACTAGCTGCCACCAGCTCCTCTGTAAGGGAGATATGGAATGGGGAGGAGCACAGTGATACAGCTGCCCAAGTTTTCACGAAACAAAGGCTACATGGACCTCCCCACAAATATCCCAGGGGTTTAACATTTCCCTCCCCACAACGCCCCTGTCCCCCATTTCCCCATCCCTGTTCACCTACATTCAGCAGCTGCTCCTTGCTGGCTTGGTTGACCCCATTATGAACATTCTGCTGCTCCTTCCCGGCCTGGCCAGCAGCATGGTGAGCACCTTGGCCAAGCTTCTCCACTTCCTTTCCGGCCTGGTCAGCAGCATGGTTGACCCCTTGGCCAAGTTTTTCTGCTTCCTTCCCGGCCTGGTTGACCCCAGTGTGGAACCCCTGGACGGCTTTGTCTGCTTCCCTTCCAGCCTGTTCAAGGGTATGATGAACTCCCTGGCCAAACTGCCCCGCCTCCTTCCCGGCCTGGTTGACCCCAGTGTGGAACCCCTGGACGGCTTTGTCTGCTTCCCTTCCAGCCTGTTCAAGGGTATGATGAACTCCCTGGCCAAACTGCCCCGCCTCCTTCCCGGCCTGGTTGACCCCAGTGTGGAACCCCTGGACGGCTTTGTCTGCCTCCTTTCCGGCCTGGTTGACCCCAGTGTGGAACCCCTGGACGGCTTTGTCTGCCTCCTTCCCGGCCTGGTTGACCCCAGTGTGGAACCCCTGGACGGCTTTGTCTGCCTCCTTCCCGGCCTGGTTGACCCCAGTGTGGAACCCCTGGACGGCTTTGTCTGCCTCCTTCCCGGCCTGGTTGACCCCAGTGTGGAACCCCTGGACGGCTTTGTCTGCCTCCTTCCCGGCCTGGTTGACCCCAGTGTGGAACCCCTGGACGGCTTTGTCTGCTTCCTTCCCGGCCTGGTTGACCCCAGTGTGGAACCCCTGGACGGCTTTGTCTGCTTCCTTCCCGGCCTGGTTGACCCCAGTGTGGAACCCCTGGACGGCTTTGTCTGCTTCCTTCCCCCCAGTGTGGAACCCCTGGACGGCTTTGTCTGCTTCCCTTCCAGCCTGTTCAAGGGTATGATGAACTCCCTGGCCAAACTGCCCCGCCTCCTTCCCGGCCTGGTTGACCCCAGGTTGGACACCATGGATTGCCATGTCTCCCTCTTTCCCAGACTGCCCTGCTGCGTAGTGAATGTCGTGGCCAAACTGCCCCACCTCCCTTCCAGCCTGATTAACGCCATGATGGAGGCCTTGGACTATTCTGTCACCCTCCTTCCCCACCTGTGAGGCAGCATGGGGAACCCCCTGGCCGAGCTTCTCTGCCTCCTTCCCAAACTGATTGGCAGCATGGTGGATCTCCTGCCCAAACTTCTCTGTCTCCTTCCAGCCCTCATTGAGCCCATGATGGATCCCCTGGCCGAACCTCCCAGCCTCGTTTCCGGCCTGCCCCAAAGCGTGGTGTGCCCCCTGGCCGAACCTCCCAGCCTCTTTTCCAGCCTGCTCTGCAGCGTGGTGTGCCCCCTGGCCGAACCTCCCAGCCTCGCTTCCGGCCTGCCCCAAAGCGTGGTGTGCCCCCTGGCCGAACCTCCCAGCCTCTTTTCCGGCCTGCTCTGCAGTGTGGTGTGCCCCCTGGCCGAACCTCCCAGCCTCGTTTCCGGCCTGCCCCAAAGCGTGGTGTGCCCCCTGGCCGAACCTCCCAGCCTCGTTTCCGGCCTGCCCCAAAGCGTGGTGTGCCCCCTGGCCGAACCTCCCAGCCTCGTTTCCGGCCTGCCCCAAAGCGTGGTGTGCCCCCTGGCCGAACCTCCCAGCCTCGTTTCCGGCCTGCCCCAAAGCGTGGTGTGCCCCCTGGCCGAACCTCCCAGCCTCGTTTCCGGCCTGCCCCAAAGCGTGGTGTGCCCCTGGCCGAACCTCCCAGCCTCGTTTCCGGCCTGCCCCAAAGCGTGGTGTGCCCCCTGGCCGAACCTCCCAGCCTCGTTTCCGGCCTGCCCCAAAGCGTGGTGTGCCCCCTGGCCGAACCTCCCAGCCTCGTTTCCGGCCTGCCCCAAAGCGTGGTGTGCCCCCTGGCCGAACCTCCCAGCCTCGTTTCCGGCCTGCCCCAAAGCGTGGTGTGCCCCCTGGCCGAACCTCCCAACCTCTTTTCCGGCCTGCTCCGCAGCGTGGTGTGCCCCCTGGCCGAACCTCCCAACCTCTTTTCCGGCCTGCTCCGCAGCATGGTGTGCCCCCTGGCCGAACCTCCCTGCCTCACTTCCTGCCAGGTTGGCCCCATGATGGACCCCGTGGTGTATCAGTTTGTCTGCCTCCTTCCCAACCTGTCCAGCAGCGTTGTTGACCCCATGGGCAAACTTCTCTGCTTCCTTTCCTGCTTGTCCGATACCATGGTTGATCTCATGAGCTACCTTGTCCATGCCGTGGTTGAGCCCCTGGACGCCTTTGTCCAACTCCTTGCCGGCCTGGCTCCCCATGTTGCTAAGTCCATTGAAAACCTTCTCCACTTCCCTTCCAGCGTGCGTGATTCCATTGTTAATGCCTTCCAGGGCCTTGCCCACCTCTCTCTCTGCATTGCTCAGCCCTCGGTTGATCCCTTCAATGACCTTCTCAATGGGGTCATCACTGGCCGCCCATCCAGGCAGGGCCCCCAATAGCAGAAGGAGGGAGCAGGAGCTGACCAGACGTGCGAGATGCATATTGCTGGGAAGGTGGGGAAGGATGCAGAGAGGAGCCGGGGAAGCCACACTGCTATTTATCTAACTCTCCCTCTTCTCCACCCCTCATGACTCAATTACCCCTGTGAGGCACTGACTTGGTCCTCAGTCAAGGAGGTGTTTCCCAGGGAGATTCGGAGTTGAGCAATGAAGAGGAGGAGGAAGAGAGGGTGAGTCATGGATAGAGAAGGACTCTGGCATCTTTGCTCCTTGCCCTCCACCCCAGAGATGAGTGTCTGCCCTTCCAACCACCTCCTCTTTTTATTCCTCACCCACTGTCCAGGCCTCCTCTCTCTCAAACCCACCTTCCACCACTCTCCATCCCTGGGATGCAGGTGATTCTTCAACACTGCACTCCTCTCAGGCATCTAAGCCTCCACCTCCTCCAGCAATGAGGGGCTAGAATGATGGGAGGCACTGACAGGAAAGAGGAGAATCCTAGGGGGATTGAGGGAGTCATCAGACCTCGTTCTTCTGGGCTGGCCCCTGCCCCTCACTCATTCCATTCCAGCCATACAGGCCTTCTCCCTCTTCCACAAACAGAGTGGCTCATTCCTGCCACAGGGCCTTTGCACGTGCTCCTCTCTCTGCAGAGAATGCAGAACCCAGATCTTCACATGGCTGGCTCCTCCTCATCTGTACTTGACTTAAATGCCACCTTCTCAAGAAAACCTCCCCTGACCGTAACATGGCATTAATTATACTCTATAGTATCACCCCTTTTGTTTTCATAGCAAAAACATATATATATATGAAATTACCTTTATTTTTTATTGCTTGTCTCACCCAGCAGGAATGTAAATTGGTCATATTGGTCACTGCTGTATTCCTAGCAGCTTGAACCCTGCCTGGGGTTCAGTAAGTATGTATTGACTGGACAAATGGATAGATTTGAAGAAGCCGAGGGAAGAGACTCCAAGCCCAAGACTGGGTCTCACAGGGTGCTAGAGGGAAGGGTGCCTGGGTCGCCAGAGTAGCATAGGGTCCCTTGGGGAGTGTCACAGATTTTGGAGGCAGGATCCCATTCCTGTCACAGAACCCAGACCTCCTGCCTCCCAGCCCTTGGGCATGGGCAGGGGGCTGATTGCCATGAGCTGGAACAGGACGCAGTGTCTCCTGAAAAGCCGGTTGAGGCAGCCATGGGGAGGGACTGAAGACCTGGGGCAGCAGGAGCCTGTGAGCCAGAACCTGGGCTGGGGCCAGGCACTCATCCTTCCTGCCCTCCCCCCACGGGGCCTCCTAAGCCCCAACCTGAAGTCCCAAGTGTCAACAAATTGGCTTGGGTTGGAGAGGAAACAGCTGAGAGTCTGGCCTCGGGTGTGAAAGGGGCATTGGAAGGAAGGGCAGGTGGTGGTGGGCAGGCTTGGAGCAGCAGATGGATCTAGGAGCCAGTTCGGAGGGAGGCTAAGACCAGAAGAACGAGAGCCAGGAGGTAGGTACCGTGGGTGCAGGGGTGAAAGATATTTGGATTTTGGTGCCAAAGGGAGAGACTGAGAGGGGTGGAGGTGGGATTGCTGGTGGGAAGGCCAGGGAGGAAGGAATGTGCAGGGTGTGAGCCGCCGGGGGTGGCAGAGCTATGTGTGTGGGTGCCCAGGTGTGGCGAGAATCTGCACGTGTTTTCAGGCTTTGCTCAAACAAGGGCACCAAGGCCCACTCCCCTCAGAGGACCCGGGGTTCCTCCCCAGCTCCTGGACACTTGACTCCACCCAAAGGCAGGAATCCCAGGACAGATACCCAGGAGCTTCTGCCTTCTCTGGGCTCTGCCTATGCAAGGTGACTAATTGTGCCACCTCTAGAAGCTTGAGCTCATCAAATCTGTTCCCGGTTTCACACTCCAGGGACAGAGCCAAATTCCTAGGCAAACTCAGGTGTGGTTCTTCTGCCCTGGTCCAGGGCCGAGATGATGGAGTTTCCCATGCCAGGAGGTGGCTGGGCAGAGAAGAGTGGGTGATAAGCGTCAGAATCCTAACCCACCTGGGGACCAAAAGATGGGGTTTCTTCTGCTTTGAACTATGTTCCATCTTCTCTACCCCTCTCCACCCATGTGTCTCTCTATTCCTATGTGCCATGATTCAATTCAGGACTTTGGCAACTGTCTCCATAACTGAGAATGGCCTGGAGTTGTCCTTTTTTTTTTTTTTTCTTTATGGAGTCTCACTTGGTTGCGACTGGAGTGAGACTCCAGGCTCGAGTGCAGTGGCACAATCTCAACTCACCACAACCTCTGCCTCCCAGGTTCAAGCAATTCTTGTGCCTCAGCCTCCTGAGTAGCTAGGATTACAGGCGCATGCCGCCATGCCTGGCTATTTTTGTATTTTTAGTAGAAATGGGGTTTTACCATCCATGTTGGCCAGGCTGGTCTCGAACTCCTGACCTCAAGGCATCCACTTGCCTCAGCCTCCCACAGTGCTGGGATTACAGGCATAAGCCACCACACCCAGCCAAAATCAGCCCCTTTTTGATCCTGGTTTTGTTGATGCTGTATTTTTCCCCTCTTTGCTTGTACACCAAAATGTAGCTCCTTTGTTGACTTAATTGTCTGTGTTTTGGTCTGGGTTAATTAAAACCTCCTCACCCATACATCTAGTTTACTTTCAGTTCTTCTCCCAGGCCATGGAAGCAGGAGAGCCTCACCCTGCCCCACTCCCATGCCTAGTGCTTGGCAAATGAATTTCCCATGGATGCTGGTGGAAGGAAGAGGTTATATCATTCTGCCCTTCTTGCATCCACCCCTCTCTGGGATGGTGACTCCTTCCTGGTGCAAACCCCCACTCCCCTGAACCTTGGTCACAGCTGCGTGTCATCCTGCTGTGCAGGTGAGGGTACCTGCCTATGAGTCAACAAGGTGCAAGCAAAACCCAACCCCGGGGCTGCAGGGGAGGGAGCTGTTAGTCCGCTTGTTCTTCCCCAGATGTTTATTGAAAACGTGCTTTGTATTGTTCTAAGTGCTGAAGGCACAGTCGTGAACAGACAGACAAGAACATAAGCCCTGTGGGGGCTTACAGCCCAAGGGGGTGATGTCATACAAATGAACCAATCAATAGATCAGGACAAACTACATGAAAAGTTACAAGGAAAAGAATGGGTGCCGCCAGAAGATATGATGTGGAGGGTGCTATAAGGTTGGGATCAGGGCCAGGTGAGGTGGCTCACGCCTGTAATCCCAGCATTTTGGGAGGCCGAGGCAGGTGGATCTCCTGAGGTCAGGAGTTCAAGACCAGCCTGGCCAATATGATGAAACTCCCAACTCTACTAAAAAAAAAAATTAGCCAGGTGTAGTGGTGTGCACCTGTAGTCCCAGCAACTCAGGAGGCTGAGGCAGGAGAATTGCTTGAACCTGGGAGGCAGAGGTTGCAGTGAGCTGAGATGGCACTACTGCACTCCAGCTGGGCAACAAGAGCAAAACTGTGTCTCAAAAAAAAAAGAGAAAAAAAGATTGGCCATCAGAAGAAACCTGAGGAATTGACATTTATTCATTCAGTATAGTTTATTGGGCTAACACCTTTTTCTGTTTTTCAGACAAGGTCTTGCTCTATCGCCCAGGCTGGAGTGCAGTGATTCAGTTGTAGCTCACTGCAGCCTTGACCTCCCAGGCTCAAGTGATCCTCCCATCCCAGCCTCCCTAGGACAAAAGGTATGCACCACCACACCCAGCTACTTTTTAAATTTTTTGTAGATATAGGGTTTTGCCACAGTGCCCATGTTGGTCTCAAACTTTTAAGCTCAAGTGATCCTCCCACCTTGGCCTCCCAAAGAGTTGGGATTACAGGCGTGAGCCACTGTGCCCAGCCACAAATTATAATTTTTAAAAGTGGGATTCCATTCCAGAGGCAGTGCATGGCCATGGAATGGTGGTGCGCAGCGTGCTGATGTCCCACACTCCTACAGTGATGGGATGCAGTGGTCTGGCCTGGGCACCCTCCTCGGTGATGTCACTGGGTATTATGACATCACTGGGCACTGTGACATCACGGCAAGAGGCCATGCCTTGCCACCCCACACTCACCTCAGTAACCTCACGGAGGGTCCCGGGGCAGCCAGGCCACGATAACTTTATAAGAGGCCATGTCGAAACGCGACATCGTCCTCACCAATGTCACCGTTGTCCAGTTGCTGCGACAGCCATGCCCAGGTGAGGGAGGCAGCAGGGACACGGGGAGCGGGTGGAAAGCGTGGTGGGGAGCATCTGCATCCTCACACCAGTGCCACATCCCGGCTGCCCTTCCTGGTGTGTGCACCATCCAGGAGCCAAGGGGTCATCCACCCTCCCTCCCTCCACACCCGCTGGGGTGTGTTGGCAGAGTAGGGTCTACCTTGATGGCGCAGAGACTAGACCTCCGCCCCTAGGGCTGGGTGGGCTTTGAACCGCTATCACCCCGTGGAAAGGGCAGAAGCGGGGGCGCATCGGAGGCTGCAGCCTGAGGGTGGTGGGAAGCAGGTGGGCTTAGGAGTGGCTTATGGAGAACAGGGTGTGGGTGGGCTAGGCTTCCACATAAAAGTAATGTTCAAGGCGCTTCACGTGAGATGGGTTTTGCCCTCCCTGTGATGCACAAAGCAAGGACACTTGCAGCCTGCCAGGGACTGCTGACCACTTCGCAGGCCAGTGCTCAGGGAAGCCTCACCACCACCTGGGAAGGCCAGTGTGTGCCTGCAGTTTACAGAGCAGCCAACAGAGGTTAAGAGAGGGCAAACCACTTCCTTAGTTTCTCAACAACGGTGGCGCATGCACACTCATTTCTCACTCACTCTAGTCAGAGGAACCAGGTCTTCCGGGTGGGCTGCCCCCACGCCCATGCTGTTCCCTCACTTCCCACAGGCGGGGCCGCAGGGGTAGGTAGGGCTGGAGTGGGGCGGGGCTTGGGTCCAGGAGACCCTGAAAGACAAAGAAGCAGACAGGCTTAACAGCGATGGGACTTGAACGCCTGCCCTGCGCATCACTGCTCCATGGCCTCGGGCTTCATTTCCCCTCTGTAAAGTGAGTTTATAGCGCATGCCTCTCGGGATTCAGTGGGAGGAGGCAGTGAGGAGCTCCACGAAGCACCCAGCTGACCCCCAGGC